TATGCATGGACATTTGTGGCACATGTTACTTTTCGGTATGAGGAGTGAAGTGGATTTACATGTGATGGAAAAGTGTCATTGAACGCAGGGACTTTTTCTTTCTCTCAATCTTTTTATGGTTTAAGACATAATGGCCTTTTCTTGCTTCAGTCTTAGATTAAAATTTTGGCTTGTGCTAGTTAATACAAAGCTATACATTTAGGCATGTTGCCTTTTTATTGTAAAATGACAATAAACAATTTTAACAGTGTTTTGTCTCCCTAGGCAATCCCCTTTGCATTTGTATATTTCACTCAGCTGACATTTAGAAATAGATTCTTTTCAAAATTTGCTTTTACAAACCATCCAGGAGAGTTTCCTGGTTTTACACATTGTCTTTATTTCTGGTTTCACCTCTGCTACTCTTTTTTTTTTTTTTTGTGGTTTTGTTTCATTTTCAAATACTAAGGCACTCTTGCAATTTTTGTTTGAGAAGTCATTCTTTTAAAACCATGCACAAGCAAGATATGAAAATAAGATTTTTTTTAATGTTGTTTGAAATAGATGTCTTTGCTCATGTATCCCAGAATTGCAAGAAGTAGTAATAACAATGGGTTTGTTCAAACCTGGTTAGTAATAAACTCAAGGGAGTGAAGAGGAGAATACTGAAGTGTATTCTGGCAGCTGCTGATGGCAATAAACCAGATGGTTAGGGCCTGACTTTCATTGCCAACCTTTTTCTAAGCATTCTGCCCTCTTTTGCACAACTTTCACTGCAATCATACAAACCGTCTCAGAAGTGGACCCTCTGTACTGCATCTCACTGGCAGACCTGATATTTACACAGAACTGCCAAGGTAAATCTCATCTCAAAGAGATTAGTGGGAAACCCAAGCTCATATTTTGAATTTAAAAGTTTGACATTCTGAAGACAATAGAAGATGATTGGGCCCCTGCCAGCACCACTCCTGGATATGCTAAGTTCTGCAATTTACTGTAGCTCATGTTGATCTGTGTATTTATAAATTCATTTCAGATTCAATGCTCAGTATTTTAATGAGGTAAATAAATGTATTGTGTTCTTCCAAAGCAACCTTTTCACACAGTGTGTACATGCATGCAGTGCATTTCATTTGCAGTTTAGCCCATCTGACCCAGTTGCCTTCAAGGATGTAATATTCTCCTTATGATCATTGCAACAGTAACATCAACCATCCTTGATTTGGGGTTTGAGAGCAAAACTATGTCTATAACTAAGCTTCCATAATTCTCAGTTCTTTGTCTCCCCTGTGATTTTTAGCTATACTCTTCTTGTCCTCTTCTTTCTTTCCATAAATCCTTGAAAGACCACTTTCATTGGCAGACCCTTTCTTTTCTACATACCTAAGAATATTGACTTCTTTCTTCTTAATTATGCTAACAAAGTCTTTTGTGGTATAGTCTATTCTCAAGAGGCTATACTTGGTCTCTCTTACCAAAACACTTCTAGGTAATACCCATAGAATATATTGTAATAACATTCCATTTGAGTTTCTTCCAGTATCTGATTCTTTCCTTCAAAACTCATTTTTTTACAGATATATGTAGATGATGGTTTTATGCATAGTTATCTCCTTTGAAGCTGGCCCTTTGAAGAAATCAGTGAGCAATAGAAATCATAAGGTGAGAAGTTTTAGTCATTACCCCTACCCTGCAGTTTGGAGTATGAGTGCCATAATGGTGTCAGCTGAAATAGAAGAGTTTCTTGGAGTCTGCAACCGGCACAACCTCATCACAGTGGAGGATGAAAACCAGTGATTTTTAACACTTCACTTTTCCCCCTCCTTGGTGGAGAAGAAAATCTGGACCATTATTTCCTCAGGTAGAAACAGAACTTTTGCTTCTGCTTTCAGAGCTGTTGCCAGCTTTACTTTACTTGCAGTGCTAATGGTTTTCCCTCTCTTCCCCCTCTTCTTCAATGGCACCTGGGTGCCTTATGGCAGGTGGTCTAATTTTGACGAGAAGTAAATTACCTGAGCAAAGCTACCTCTTTGCTTTCCCTGTGGTCCAGATATACTCCCCCAAGAGAGTTTAAAGTTGGAGGGCAAGGGGATTTGTGATCCTGGCTGGATTTTTAGAATCTTAGAATAGTCATGTAATTCATAACAGTCTTGTGAACATTGAAACACTTCTGTTTTCATGGAAGACTGAAATCCATTCAGGAAGCTGTTTAAATAAAAATATAATTTTCATCTTCCATTGCACAGAAACCTGTGCACACAAATAAAATTATTCTTTTTCACAGGCCGTGCCTGTCAGAAAATTCATGCTAAAGTTATTGCAAACCCACAACTTTAATTTTCAACATGCCATTTTTATATATAGCAGTTTTGTGATTAATAGCCCTTAATGGATTCTTTTTTTGCTCTGATTTTATTTAAGTATTATTTGAATAGTCCAAAATAATGAGCTTCATTGCTTAATTACATGCTTTATGAAAGATTATCTTCTTTTGTACATGTTTATCTCATCTTTTATTTGATACTCTATAGCTGTCATATTATGAGAGCGAGCAAATAGTTGCCTATTCAGTTTTCCCTGTGTCATTGCTTATTTACAGATCTCTGTCATCTCTTTCTTTGGGTTTCTATTTTCCAGATGCAGACTCCTAGTCTGGTTAATTAGTCATTATATAGAAACCATCCTTTACCCATAATAGATGTTCTTTGTGCCTCACGTGGTTGCATTATTTGTATTTCATTATTAGGGGAAAGTACTGCACACATTATTCACAGTAAGAGGACACCAATTTAATGACATATTTAATAGTGTTAGTCTGCGAGAAGATTGTCTATCAGGTGACAACATTAATTATTTTTGGAAGGCTTTCATTGGGGAACTTGTCAAAAGTATTCTGGAAATCAAAGACAATTAGTCAGACCTGTATTGTTCACATTGCTAGGAATTCTTTCCAAGATAGGTTTATAATAAAAGCCTTCACCTTGCATGTTGACTCTTCCTTGATAGAACACATTGATCTATGTCTTTACCAACTCTGCTCCTTTTTATAATTCATACTAGTTTGCCTAGTGCATACATTAGGCTGGTCTATAAACTCCCCAGATTTTTTGTGTAAGACCTGATGTCAATTCTGCCAATTTCCATCCTTCTGGTACTAGAGCAGTTTTAAGCAAAAAGCTGCAAATCATAGTTAGCAGTTCAGCTGTTTCATTCCTGATGAACATACCATGAACATTCCTTTAGAACATACCATGTTATTGATGAGAATTTTTGCTCTCGGCAATTTACTACTGATTGAAACCTCTCCTACCAACTTGGCAGACGTTTCAGGCAGAAAGATCCTGTGGCACATCACCTACGTGTGCAGAAAAGGGACAAGATTCTAGCATAGGAACCTCCCTGAACTCCTCTGTGGTGAACTCAGGTGCAAAGTACCCATTTAATTATCTGCCATGGCCTTGTTTTCTTTGAAACCTCTTTTATACCTTGATCAACAATTGGCCATAAAGACACTGCCAGACTCTCATTCCTGACATATTTGAAAAAATGGTTTATTGTTTGTTTTTGTGTCTTGCAAACTTTTTTCCTGTGAATATATTTGTATTATTTTATATTATATATTGTATTTTACATATGGTTTCCAAAGTTCCTTTTTCTCTGTTTTCCATTTTACTGTAACTTATGTCTCTTGAAAGTTTTCTTTTACTTCATAGTAGTCTTCTGTATGCTGGTGTGAATGTTATCTAAAAATATTATCTTTGTTTAAATGTCACACAGCAGTAGGATGTCATCATCATGGCAGTGCAATCTTTCATTATTGGGATTTCCACCTTTGCAGCTTATGTAATTTCCTTTAATGGACCACAGATGGTATCACCTTTCTAGTAAGAAAATCTATGCACTTTTTTGATGGGATTCTGTCTCTGCAGCCTCCCTTTTGAGTTTTGCCAACTTCTGCCCCAGGCTTAATCTGAGGTTACAAAGCTTTTAACATCAGCTTAGAAGAAACGTCACTGCAAATCAATTCTCCACTCTCCTACTCTTTCCTTTAAATATTCTGCCAAAACCTGTCTTAACTTTAACTGTCAGCAATGTGGTATCATTTTAGTTAAAATGAAGACCATCTTTCCTGAAGAAGCTACAAAAGTTTTCCCTGTACTCACCGAATCTCAGTTCTTCCTCCTTACACCATTTTCCCATCATGAAAGGGAAGTGGCAACGGTCATCAAGAGCAGAGTAAATCAGTGCATGCTGGGGAGGCTGTGGACTTTCTTTTTCTGGCAGGCTCATAAGAACATACTATACAAATGTCCCTGAGGGACAATATAGGCATATTGATCCTGCTTCAGGCAAAGGGACACACTGGATGAGCTCTTTCTTTTACAATTCCTGATCTCCCTGTATTTCCTTAAGCTGCCTTATTCCCTGCTTCTAACTGTCCTGCCTTTCCTACTAAATTAGCCAGTAGTTAATGCTATCCCAGTTCTTTCTTGGAGAATGCTGTAACTGCAGTCATTGAAAACACTGACATGGTCAAGTAAATAAGCTGAACACCTTGAAAGCTTCTTTGCTAGGAACTGTACAAGTGTTATAAGCTGATAAGCACAGCTCTGTGCAGTGAGTAATGTTACCATTAAAGCTCTTGTGTCTCCAGAAAATTGTCCTTCCCTGAACCCTCAGAAATGAAGTGCTGCAGACTTCACCCTTTGCACCTGTCTATGGTGCAGCAGTGCAGCGTGGTTGCCTTTTCCTTACCCTGATCCGAAGGCGTTCCTGAGCTCAAATAGTCCAGCTCTGATTTTAAAAGTTCAGGAATACAAGTAAACCTAGACAACGGCAGAGGAGACCCCACTGTCTTCCTGAAGCACACAGCACACAGCAACATTTTCCATGGGATGAATCTTCACTGCAGTATATTGTGAATCTGTGGGTCTTTGGAACAAAACGGTATTAAATATGTGAGAATAATGGCTACTTTTACTAATCCTTGTGATTTGTGACTCTCTGTTCATGTGTTTCAGGTATGCTAGCATGCTCTGTGCCTCCAACTAACTTGGTGTTTGCCTCGGACTTTCACACAGAAGTTGCACCTCAAATATTTGAAAGAATGAGAGACGTGATAACTGTAATAATCAATGTCGCCAAAATCAGAGACAATGACTTCCCTGCAGGAGCCAAAGTCATTGTTTTCTCCTACACCTTGGCTGCCCACGACCTGATCTGCTTCTCAGAGTCCTGCAACAAGAATAAATACCTCAGAGGTCGTAAGAATCTGAACTATCAGAGATCCTCAAGTAAACATAATATTGGCAATTTACTGAGGTTGCTGCCAGAAGCTTTTTCAAGCGAATTATTCAAGGTCCTAACAGAAGAAAGAGCCACATTATTTCAGCCAGATCCCACCACAAATATGTCTTCTATTAAACACTGAAGACCTGAAGTAGGATATTTTTCCTGTGTCATTTTTGCTTATAATGATATCCCCAGCAATGAGAAAGCAGTTCAGGTAATAAGTTTGCTTGCTTCTTTTTCTTTTTTTCCGGTCAATAAAAAGACCTACATAGGCTAAGAAAGATGTAGAAGAGGAGAGCTTGACAGTTTAACAAAGCAGTGTGGAAGGGGAATGGGAGAAATTACAAGCAGAACTGCAGGTTTCTGTTCAGAATTACTTTTATGGCATTACAAGAATCAAAACTCTTGAATTGGGAATTGGTAGTTAAGAAAACTTCAGGCGCCAAAGGAATTTGGTAAAGAATAGCCTGAATCTGGCTGCCTCCTTATGGTTACTTGAGAGCATAAATCTATAACAAAGCTTTTAATTGTAAAAAAAAAAAAATCATGGTTTTCCCACTACTTCCTTTCATGCTTGCCTTCCTCCCTCTCTCTCTCCACACCTAATCAATTCTGGTGTGTGTTAGCGGGTTAACAACAGTGTTTATGAGGTTTTTTTGCATGCCATGCCTTTAACAGCTTCCTGCCAATTTTTGCAGGGCTGTGTAAACCCCCTGTGTCCTCTCATTACCTCTCAGAACTTGGAATAGTCCCTTGAATTTCTGGCTGTGCTGAGTGCTGCAGGGATTCATGGCTGCTCACTGGGTGAGTATATTTCTGACTTTTCCTACATTTGTCTTGCTTTCAACCTTGAGCTCTGCCCCCATGGAGTAATTCCACATTACTGCTTTCTTTTCTGTTTTTGCTATCAGCGTAAACTCCTGTGAAAGGCTATCTAACATCTGGTGAGAATGCTTTATTTTAAAATATCATTTATAAACTTTGGGGACCATATTCATCCTAGCTGTGACTGGTGTAACAAGGAGTTTACTGTGAAACGGGTGCATAGTGTGTGGTTTTTGAATCAGAATTTGTTAGGTAAAAAGTTGTCTACAATAGAAAAACAAATACATGACTCAGAGAGATTACCAAATAAGGCTGAATCTGAGCAGAATACTGTATTAGAGTATGTATTGCATATAGTATTTTCCTCCAAGGACATGTAAAAATAGATTTTCTCCGAAAAACTGAACTGTTTTGGGCTGCTATCTTCTGTGGTAGCTCGAGTAGCTCACTTACAGAAATTCAATTGCTTCTTAATCATCACTTCAATTACTTCTTAAGTATTACTCTGTCATCTGAGTATAGATTATTGAAAACTTCATCCATCACAACTCACTTCAGTGCTAGTTTACTCCTAGCTGTGAAAGCCAAAACAAGTTTATTCACAAGGAATTTTAGTATCAGCATCTGTACTTAAGGGAAAGGTGGTAAAGAGTTTGCTTCATTGTCAGCAGTGTGATGTGGTTACACAGAAGGAATTATCTAAAGGTGTTAAGTGCACCGACGGAACAAGTATAATTTTAGAGATGTAAGATACCCTCCATACCAGACTGCTCATTTTGGCACATCTGGCTCATTCCACAACCACTGCACATGCTAAATTTTTAGTAAAGCCGATGCAGTTTCCATACAAGGAGACACCAAATTGATGGACCCCATCACTTTGTAAAGAGCATCCACTTTTGTGGAGATTCTGGCCAAGCATTTCCTTTGCAAATAGAAATCTTAAACAGTACCTCTGTGGGGAGAAAAAAAAAATGAGCTCAGCATAGATCAGGAGTAGATCTTATCTTCTCCTGCCTGTCTGAACATGAAGTATATACTTGTATACTCTCCATCTATAGTCAGCACAGATTTATCACTGACTCAGGAAACTTCCATTAACTACAGATTCTCAGCCTAGATCTCTAACTTTTGTGTTGATGAAGTTCAGGAAAATGAGACCTACTTAGTCCTCGGTGCTACTTCATGCTACTAAACATGCCTTTTCCCAGCCAGCAAACCCATGAACACAACTGCTTCCAAAATTGCGGTAGGTGTTTTGTTAGAGTGGATTCTGAGCCATTCCTGAAATGATCCTCTGTGCTACAGTAAGGGTAGCTGTTAGAGCATCGTGTGATACTTCTATTAATTGCAATGTCTTATTGTTTAATTGTCCATCCCGTGTTCACTACCTTAGAGAGAGTTTTCTACATTAATTTCTGTGGATGTAGCTTCTGGTGCTTAAACATTAAGGGTGGGCAGAATGTAACTAATGTAACTAGGACTAGTTTGCAGGGGTGGATCTGAATGTAATGAAACCTTGTCAGAAACTAAGCATGTGCAAGATCATATTCTTCATTGTTTTATTTTAATGAACTTTAACTTTTTTTTTTTTTTAATACAGAGAAGTGCTAATTAATTTATGTTCTTTTACAGACAAGTGCAATCTGGATGTAGGTTGTAAACATCTATGGTTGTAAAAATCTCTATGGTTATAAACATCACAGGTGTTTGCCACCCCAGGAATATGTCAATGCTGCTGTCATCTTGGGTAGGTCATCAAAAATTATCTCAAAGGAACTCCAAAAAGTTAGAGAGCTCCTGAACAAAACACTTGATGCTTTGGTGGTCTCCCATCAGCGTAGCTCGAGCTTAAGTGCATCAATGTTATGAACAGCAGAACATCAAAACCTTTGAAAGTGAGTTCAAATTCTAGTGATACATTTGATGCTAAACTTGATGTCTTTGTTCTGCTTTCTTGACAGGCTCTTTCAACAGTCACCAACCAGAAAAATCTTAATGAGAGGCACAGCTCACAGAGTCTCCAGTGAACTGACCTCTAGCCAACAGGCCCAAGGCTTTCGTGAGTCCAGACATTCATCTTTTCGATTTGACATAGGCAGACAGATTGGAGGTGGGGCACCAGCCTACTTGCTTCTGAGAAAAGTTTGATGCTGCAAGCACCAACATGGGTGCTCCTGCGCGCATGCACTAGCGTGTGTGTAAACACATACATTACCTTTCATGTTGGCGTTGTTCCTTTTACACTGCGGCCATTTACAATGACTTGTGTTTACTTTGGATGGTAGAAAAATGGAAAAAATAAAGCCCTATTCAGACTGTAGGCAACGTGGGCAGCTGCTTGTGGTGGGAAATCGCTCTCACATGCCAAGCAGCCCCACTACCTGTGGCAGAGGAGACAGGGTCTGTCATCGTGTTAGCACCAACTGCTGTCTTGTCCCTGCTTTAGCCATGACCAAGAAGAGGGCCAGAGTGTTTGGAGCAGCTTTTAACCCTGCTGAGATCACCTCTCCCAGCAGCAGCTGATGGCATCTTCAACCCTTCTCTTTAGCAGCAGGCATAGAAAGCCATGCTCCTCTCTTCCCTCTCTGCTCCCCACCACATCAGCAAGCCTTCATCCTTTCCCTCTCCTCTCTTACCCTCCCTGCCAGCATCCCAGGGGCTTCAAGACCCATGCTTATGCTGGGGAGAAGGAAGGAGAGGCAGATTCTAGGTCACAGGAAGGGAGGTAGGCTGGAGAAGAAGCCCCACCAGGGCACAACCTGAAGGCGAGGAAGAGGAGGGGGAAGAGGCCTGACTCAGTGAGGGGGAGCAAAAGAGAGATGCCTTTAACTTGCATAACAGTTCACAAACCACCTCTGCATAATCGATGCTTTCCTACACTGTTGAAAAACCTTGAGTTGCGTCTGGCCAGAGACATAACTTTCTGCTGTCCGAAAGGTGTTTTGCAGGCATTTGAATCTTCAGTATGAATTGTTCCCCAACCACATGTCTTCTTTTTTCTGCCAAAGATGACTGGAAATTCAGCAAAGTGACACAAGGTAGGTGAAGTAATTGTTTAAGAGGGCACACTGTTTGCACATTCAACAGAAGAAAAGTACAGTGCATAAACTAAGTTTTGTTTATAAATATATACATCTAGATCACAGAATCACAGAATGGTTCGGGTTGGAAGGGACCTCTGGAGATCATCTAGTCCAACCCCCTTGCCAGAGCAGGGTCACCTACAACAGGTTGCACAGGACGGCATCCAGGCGGGTTTTGAATGTCTCCAGAGTGGGAGACTCCACCACCTCTCTGGGCAGCCTGTTCCAGTGCTCCACTACCCTCAAAGTAAAGAAGTTCCTCCTCATGTTAAGATGGAACTTCCTATATTCAAGTTTATGCCCATTACCCCTCGTCCTATCACTGGGCACCACTGAAAAAAAACTGCTCCCATCCCCCTGGCATCGTCCCATTAAGTATTTGTAAGTATTAATAAAATCCCCCCTCAATCTTCTTTTCTCTAGACTAAAGAGACCCAAGTCCCTCAGCCTTTCCTCGTATGAGAGATGTTCCAATCCCCTAATCATCTTCGTTGCCCTTTGCTGGACCCTCTCCAGCAGTTCCCTGTCCTTCTTGAATTGGGGAGCCCAGAACTGGACGCAGTACTCCAGATGCGGCCTCAGCAGGGCAGAGTAGAGGGGGAGGATGACCTCCCTCGACCTGCTGGCACCTGTCTTGTTGATGCACCCCAGGATGCCATTCGCCTTCTTGGCCGCCAGGGCACATTGCTGGCTCATGGTCATCCTGTTGTCCACCAGGACTCCCAGGTCCCTCTCCACAGAGCTGCTCTCCAGGAGGTCAGCCCCCAACCTGTACTGGTGCATGGGGTTATTCCTCCCCAGGTGCAGTACCCTACACTTACCCTTATTGAACTTCATAAGGTTTCTTTCTGCCCAACTCTCCAGCCTGGCGAGGTCACGCTGTAAGGCAGCACAGCCTTCTGGCGTGTCAGCCACTCCTCCCAGTTTTGTGTCATCAGCAAACTTGCTGATGGTACACTCTATCCCTTCATCCAGATCATTGATGAATATGTTGAACAAAACTGGGCCCAGTACTGACCCCTGAGGGACACCACTTGTTACTAACCTCCAACTAGACTCTGCACCACTAAGCACAACCCTCTGAGCTCTATCTGTAAGCCAGTTCTCAATCCACCTCACCGTCCATTCATCTAAGCCACACTTCCTAAGCTTTCCTGTGAGGATGATGTGGGAGACAGTGTCGAAAGCCTTGCCAAAGTCAAGGTAGACAACATCCACTGCCCTCCCC